CTCGGTAGCAAGGTTTTAAGCAACAGTTTTGAGTACGTTTAGAAGTTTTTGAATCTCAGCTTTTTGACATTTTGTTCGGAGCGTTTCCATCTATTGGTTATGTGAAAAAAATGAACCGAGTTTGTGTACCGCAATTTTTTTTCATGTTTAGGCAATTGGCAATTGATTATTTTGATCATTGCACAAAAATTTTTTGAAAAGTTTTCCATTAATTGCAATTTTGACTTGACTTTTTTGGTAACAAAGATGTGTGGTAAGTGTTGCACGAGATTTGGGAGTGTGCGTTTTTCTTACAAAATGAGTTTTTTATCTTAAGCATAAATTTTTGTTTTCTCTGGATTTTTTTTTTGGTTCCACTTCAGTTTATAGCCGAATAATTCTGTAAAATGTGCAGGATACTCGGTAGCAAGGTTTCAAGCAACAGACAGTTTTAAGTACATTTAGAAATTTTTGATTTTTGAATCTCAGCTTTTTGACATTTTGTTCGGAACGTTTCCATCTCTTGGTTATGTGAAAAAAATGAACCGAGTTTGTGTACCCCAAATCCGTTTCATGAGTAGGCAATTGATTATTTTGACCATTGCCCAAAATTTTTTTGGAAAGTTTTCCAACAATTGCAATTTTGACTTGACTTTTTTGCTAACAAAGATGTGTGGTGTTACACGAGATTTGAGAGTGTGCGTTTTCTGTCCTAAATGAGTTTTTTGAAAGTTAAGCATATATCTTTGTTTTCTTTAGATTTTTTTTTCATTTCCACTTCAGTTTGAAGCCAATTAAATCTGTAAATTGTGCAGGATTCTCGGTAGCAAGGTTTTAAGCAACAGTTTTGAAGATATTTAGAAATTTTTGAATCTCAGCTTTATGGCAATTTGTTCGGAGCGTTTCCATCTATTGGTTATGTGAAAAAAATGAACCTAGTTTGTGTACCCCTAATCTTTTTCATGTTTAGGCAATTGATCATTTTTATCATTGCACAAAAACTTTTTGAAAAGTTTTCCAACAGTTGCATTTTGACTTGACTTTTTTGCTAACAAAAATGTGTGGTAAGTGTTGCACGAGATTTGGGAGTGTGCGTTTTCTGTTCTAAATGAGTTTTTGAAACTTAAGCATGTATCTTTGTTTTCTTTAGATTTTTGTTTCATTTCCACTCCAGTTTATAGCCAATTAAATCTGTAAATTGTGCAGAATTCTCGGTAGCAAGGTTTTAAGCATCAGTTTTGAGTACATTTAGAAATTTTTGAATCTCAGGTTTTTGACATTTTGTTCGGAGCGTTTCCATCTATTGGTTATGCGAAAAAATGAACCGAGTTTGTGTACCGCAAATCCTTTTCATGTTTAGGCAATGGATTATTTTAACCATTGCACAAAAATTTTTTGAAAAGTTTTTCAACAATTGCAATTTTGGCTTGACTTTTTTGCTAACAAAGATGTGTGGTATGTGTTGCACGGGATTTGGGAGTGTGCGTTTTCTGTCCTAAATGACTTTTTTTGAAACTTAAGCATATATTTTTGTTTTCTCTAGATTTTTTTTCAGTTCCACTTATAGTTTATAGTCAATTGAATCTGTAAAGTGTGCAGAATACTCGGTAGCAAGGTTTTAAGCAACAGTTTTCAGTACATTTATAAATTTTCGAATCTCAGCTTTTTGACAATTTGTTCGGAGCGTTTCCATCTATTGGTTATGCGAAAAAAATGAACCTAGTTTGTGTACCCCAAATCTTTTTCATGTTTAGGCAATTGATTATTTTTATCATTCCACAAAAACATTTTGAAAAGTTTTCCAACAGTTGCATTTTGATTTGACTTTTTTGCTAACAAAAATGTGTGGTAAGTGTTGCACGAGATTTGGGAGTGTGCGTTTTCTGTCCTAAATGAGTTTTTGAAACTTAAGCATATATCTTTGTTTTCTTTAGATTTTTTTTTCATTTCCACTCCAGTTTATAGCCAATTAAATCTGTAAATTTTGCAGAATTCTCGGTAGCAAGGTTTTAAGCATCAGTTTTGAGTACATTTAGAAATTTTTGAATCTCAGGTTTTTGACATTTTGTTCGGAGCGTTTCCATCTATTGGTTATGTGAACAAAAATGAACCGAGTTCGTGTACCCCGAATCCTTTTCATGTTTAGGCAATTGATGATTTTAACTATTGCACAAAAAATTTTTGAAAAGTTTTCCAACAAATGCAATTTTGACTTGACTTTTTTGCTAACAAAAATGTGTGGTAAGTGTTGCACGAGATTTGGGAGTGTGCGTTTTCTGTCTTAAATGAGTTTTTGAAACTTAAGCATATATCTTTGTTTTCTTTAGATTTTTTTTTCATTTCCACTCCAGTTTATAGCCAATTAAATCTGTAAATTGTGCAGAATTCTCGGTAGCAAGGTTTTAAGCAACAGTTTTGAGTACGTTTAGAAGTTTTTGAATCTCAGCTTTATGACATTTTGTTCGGAGCGTTTCCATCAATTGGTTATGTGAAAAAAATGAACCGAGTTTGTGTACCGCAATTTTTTTTCAGGTTTAGGCAATTGGCAATTGATTATTTTGATCATTGCACAAAAATTTTTTGAAAAGTTTTTCAACAATTGCAATTTTGGCTTGACTTTTTTGCTAACAAAGATGTGTGGTATGTGTTGCACGAGATTTGGGAGTGCGCCTTTTTCTGTCCTAAATGATTTTTCTGAAACTTTAGCATATATTTTTGTTTTCTCTAGATTTTTTTTTTCAGTTCCACTTATAGTTTATAGCCAATTAAATCTGTAAAGTGTGAAGAATACTCGGTAGCAAGGTTTTAAGCAACAGTTTTGAGTATATTTATAAATTTTTGAATCTCAGCTTTTTGACATTTTGTTCGGAGCGTTTCCATCTATTGGTTATGTGAAAAAAATGAACCGAGTTTGTGTACCGCAAATCCTTTCCATGTTTAGGCAATTGATTATTTTAACCATTGCACAAAATTTTTTTGAAAAGTTTTCCAACAATTGCAATTTTGACCGCAATTTTGCAATTTTGAAAAGTTTTCCAACGATTGCAATGCTAACAAAGATGTGTGGTAAGTGTTGCACGAGATTTGGGAGTGTGCGTTTTTCTTACGAAATGAGTTTTTTGAAACTTTAGCATATGTTTTTGTTTTCTCTAGATTTTTTTTTCATTTCCGCTTCAGTTTATAGCCAATTAAATCTGTAGAATGTGCAGGATGCTCGGTAGCAAGGTTTTGAGCATTAATTTTGAGTACATTTAGAAGTTTTTGAATCTTAGCTTTTCGACATTTTGTTCGGAGCGTTTCCATCTATTGGTTATGTGAAAAAAATGAACCGAGTTTGTGTACCCCAAATCCTTTTCATGTTTAGGCAATCGATAATTTTAACCATTGCACAAAAATTTTTCTTACTTTTTAGCCTAGAACCCCTTCAACCGATAGTTTCTTCACTTTTTGGTTGAGACACGTTATACTTTCATTTTTGGCATTTTCCTAATTTTCAGCCTAGAACTTTTTCAACCGATAGTTTCTTCACTTTTCGGTTGAGACACGCTATACTTTCATTTTTGCATTTTATTGTATTGCGAGTGGTTGCGAAGCTCAGCTTCGACTCTGGGGAATAAATTATTTTGATCATACTGTAACAGCATGTTTTTTGGGGTAAAATATTTAAAATTTTGAAGCTGAAGGTTGCGTACAATCGTCACTGCCTAAGTTTGATGGGACCAGCGTAGAATATTGAACTAAATATTTTTGTCGAAGTTTAAGGTCACCAGCGATAATTTATTTTGTTCTGACCACCTTGCTGAAAGGGACCGAAAGCAACTATGGGTTAATTAGCTGTTTTCCCGCTCAGTTTTAACTACGTCAGAGAAATTTCGACTGGGATCAAGTGCAATATCATATGAAAGCTCTGGTGATCGTGATTCAGATTTTTAATTTTTCAATTTAAAATACTACTAGTGTAAAAAAAACTAGTCTGTATATTTTTGGTCTAGACTAAGTCAGGTTTGGGGCGAGGTTTTTCGTGCGATTAAGGGCAACTCAGAAATTTCAAAGGGGTTCAAGAGTGATACTATGGTGAAAATTTTTCAAATTTTATCAATTGTCTTGGAACGTCGTCACATTTATTAAAAAATCTTTTTTTTTCAGGAAAAAGTTAAGAACTTGATCATACCAAGTTTTTACTTTTGCTGTTTGACTTTTGAGTTCTTTGTAGAGTTACTTCAATTTCGCTTGCTTGAAGTAAAAACAACTTGTGTAATAAACTTAATTGATTTTTAGGTTCAAAAGTTTTAATTTCTAGATCCGCCCTGTAATGATGCCTCTGAAATATCTGATGAAATTTTCTCCAAAGCCCAACGAAAAAAAAAAGGATAAGATTTTTCATTCAAAAAAGTTAATACTGTTTTTCCAGCTAACACCAGCGAGTATGAAAATTCTATGTATTTTTTTCGAAGTGACTTAACCTGCAGACAACAATACCATTTTAAAGGACACTAGTTTAAATATTTATGCTATACAACTGATTTATCTTTCACCCTGATTTGTACAATATCTGTTAAAATAAAAAAAAATTTGCAAAAAAACTTACTGACGTTGCCTTGTCCCAGTTTTTTTTGGAATCCACAACATAGCCAAAAATAGCTAAAAATGAACTCCTCAAAATAAACAGAAAAAAAAATTGCCTTTAGAAAAATTTTTGGGTCAAACGGACAAAAATGGATGTCGTGAAATAGTGTCAAAGGGTGGACTTAAAAATGCCAAAAAGGGACCTTTGGCGAGGGTGTCGAATCCTTGAGGGGGACAGGGGGGAGGTGTCAGCCTCTCCCCCCTAAAACCACCCTTGCACACTGAACATTGAAGAAGCCCTCTTTTCAAAAAACAATCGTGGCGAAAAATTGAAAACTTTTGTGACGATTGAAAAGTTGGTAAAATTAAATATTGTGGCCAAAAATTTAACGAAAATATCATGAGCAGATTTGAGGACTTGTCTGAAAAAATTATGTATGATTGTTTGAACTTACTTCAAACTCGTGGCTGAGCTCTTTCACTTCTTCGGGAGTTGCCATTGTGAACCAAGTGGCGAATCTGGGTTTAGAACTGAGTTCTCTTAGAAACTCCACGTACTCCACATAATCCACATTAAATTTGGTCGGATCTCGCCAAAACTGCAACTTACTTTTCCATCCACATGTTTCATCCAGACCAAACTGGCAGTCCTGTATCCCATCGCCGATCTGAGACTCCGTTACGTTCATGTTGAAGTGGCCATCGTCGTAGTCAAATCCAGTTCGCGGGCAGAAATAAATCTCGGGGTTGCCCGTTTCGAGCTCTCGCATGCTTTCGTTACACGAGTTCAGAAATTGGTCCGACTTGTCTCGGGGACAATCGTCGTACCCGTCGCAGAGGTGTTCACGCGGAACTACAGTGTCACTATGACAACATATGAAAAATTTGGTCAAGTCGGTCTCCCGACAGATTTGCCTGTTTTCGTCACTTCCGTCATCACAATCAAACAATCCATTACACCTTGAAAGAGAAAAGTGCCCAAAATTAATTAATCAATTATGACTGATATGCAAAGAAAGGGTATACTTCCGGCCACTTTTTCACGGCGCTAGCAAATTAAAGTAAACTAGCAAGCCTTTCTCCAGTAATCACTCAGCTCGAAAAACATAGTTGCTGTTCTGATCAAGCTATAAAACTTCGAAATCTCAAGCTGAGCCAGATCGTAAATCGGTTTGAGAACTCTACGTATCATAGAACGAATCAGTTCACGAAAAAATGAAACTTACTCTGAGCAAGCTATTCAAGCGACGAAACCTTAAATAATTCAAGTTAATTTCGCGAAGCGAATCGGAGTACAAAGTTACAAAGTATTTTTAAGCAAGCTGTCAAAGCTATTGAACTTCAATACTTCAAGTAATTTGATGGTGCGAATTGGTTGCAAAACACCCACGTTTTACTGAAGGAAGTTAATGAAGCTATAAGCAATTGAAATATTTCGAGTTGTTTAGATCGAAACACTTTGCGGAAAATTAGTTTTTTAAGCGAGCTAATGTAACGAGCTAATAAAGCGAATCAGTTCGAAAAAAAAAGAAATTCACTTAATCAAGCTAGTGTAGCTATGAAAAATTGAAATATTAAGTTAATTATTAGAAGGAAACGTTTGCGAAAATTAGTTTTCTGCGCGAGCTAATCGAGCCATGAACTACAAAAAATCTCAGCACTTTGTCGACCGAATCGTTTGACCAAAAGTTGAAGTTTTCTAAGCAAGCTACTCAAGCTATGAAACTTTGAATTTTTGCAATTTATTGCGTGGACCGAATCGGTCGCGAAAAGTTTCATTTTTTCTAAGCAAGCTTTTAAAGCTACGATTTTTGAATTATTTCAATTTAGTTCATAGACTGAATCAGTTCCTGAAACAATTAAGTTCTTCTAAGCGAGCGTTTTCAGCTAGAAATTTTGATATAATTCAAGTTATCTATAAACCGAATCAGTTTGCGAAAAACTTGAAGTTTTCTAAGCAAGCTTTTCAAGCTATGAAACTTTTAAATTTTTCAAATTATTCCGTGAACCAAATCGGTGCGCAAAAGTTTCCGTTTTTCTAAGCAAGCTTTGTAGGTATAAAACTTTGAATGATAAAGCTACAAAACTTTGAACTTTCATAAGTTTTTTGGGTAGACCGAATCGGTTCGCGAAAAGTTTAAGTTTTTCTAAGCAAGCTTTCAAAGCTACGAAACTTTGAAATACTTCAATTTAGTTCATAGACTGAGTCGGTTAGTGAAACAATTAAGTTCTTCTAAGCGGCGAGCTTTTTCAGCTGGAAGTTTTGATATAATTCAAGTTATCTATAAACCGAATCAAATTGCGAAAAACTTGAAGTTTTCTAAGCAACCTATTCAAGCTATGAAAATTGAAAATTTTCAAGTTATTTCGTGGACCGAATCGGTACGCGGATTTTTTTTTTTTACACAAGCATTATAAGCAAGCTTTTCTAAGAAGCTTCAAGCGATAAATAATTGAATGATAAAGCTAAGAAACTTTGAAATCTTTATTTATTTCATGAATCGAATCGGTTTTCGAAAAACATTTTCTCAGCATGGAGGTTGCTGTTTTTAGTTAATTCGTTTCAGACTGAAATTAATCTGTAAGCGCAAAATTTTGGACAAAAATAAGCAAGTACTGTCTGTCCTTGAAATTGGATCAAGTTCATTTTTCTCTGATGGTTGCTTTGAATGATTCTTAAACGTGCTCGATAGAAAAGTTGAAACGTTGCATCCATAGCGCATTCAGACTTTCGTTTAATATATAAGATACAAGCTCAAAAACATTTGATTAAGTCAGCGGTATAGTAAACGTCAATAACTCCGTTGACTCCATTTTTTTGATAATCGGGTGACAAACTTTGAGGCAGCAGGACACATAAAACTGGACCAATAAAAATTTCACCTGCGGAAAAATAAATAGCAATGTTTTCCAAAGTTGAATTTTTTTTTGAAATAATGAGAAAATAGATTTAAAGTTTTACGACTGGAAAAAATTATAGAGCAGGGTGTTTTTCAGGCACACTGATAAATCTCGTAGAAGTTCAACTTTTAAACTAATCTTTAAACCTATTTTTAGTCGTTTTTTGGGTTCGAAAAAACGCAAAAAGTTCTTCATGTGTCGAGAAAAAAATGGTTTTGGCCATCCAAACTCAAGGGTAGCCACGAAAATGCAACTGAGCGTGTATTAGCTTTGCGATCAGCAAGGTTATTGCTATAGGGTACTACTTTCTTCCAAAAAAAACATTGATCACGGGATGACTACAACTGTAGTTATCTTCATCTCTACTTGCGTCAACGAACAGACAGATGAAGAACTGAGCATTCCTGAGTATGTCGATTCGAAATGTTGCTATGTTGGTTGTAATTTAATCATTTATGATTTCATCATATCAGTTTTTTTTGTTTCTCTTTTTTTCTTTTACTTTTATTAAAAAGTGTCTGTTAAATTTTTATTTTGGCTTAGAAGCTTTTTTGTCGAGTCGGTTGAGCAGCAAAAAAGTTATCTCAGTGTTTTTAGGGTAAAAAGTTGTTTAAAGTTTTTGACAAAAAAAAATTTTTGGCGCACCGCGTGTCTACTCAAGATCTATCCGTGTTGTACGCCTTTGTTGTTGATTCTTCGTCTTTCATTTGCAAATTTGACTCTTTTTGATTGATTTCCGTACTTTCGTTCTCTCGTTTGAGTTTTCGTCTGATCCGCTTTTTCTTCTTTCATGAATGAACAACAAAGGCGTACAATGCGGTGCAAATCTCTGGATTGAAGCATACACAAAACCAAAAAACTATATCTACCTTTGCCTGCGTCAAGAAGCATAAACGGCAATTCAGGCAGTGAAGTTCGAGCATAGACCTAAAAAGTATCAAATATGCGAGTTCAGAGATTGGTCTGACTTGTCTCGGGGACAATCGTCGTACCCATCGCAGAGGTGTTCACGCGGAACTACAGTGTCACTATGACAACAATGAAAAATTTAGTCAAGTCGGTTTCCTGACAGATTTGCCTGTTTTCGTAACTTCCATCGTCAGAATCAAACGGTCCATTACACCTTGAAAGAGAAAAATGCCCAAAATAATTAATCAATTAAGATTGATATGGAAAGAAAGGCTATACTTTTGGCCACTTTTTCGCGGAGCTAGCAAATGAAACTAAATACAAACTCAAAAACATTTGACAATCCAGCGGTAAAAAAAACGTCAATAACCCCGTTGACTCCATTTTTCTTTATAATCGGGTGACAAAATTTTGAGGCAACAGGACACATAAAACTGGACCAACAAATATTTTACTTGCGCAAAAATGAATAGCAAAGTTTTCCAAAGTTGAATTTTTTTTTTGAAATAATGAGAAAATGGATTTAAAATTCTACGACTGGAAGATACAATAGAGTAGGGTGTTTTTCGGGCACACTGATAAAACTCGTAGAAGTTCAACTTTTAAACTAATTTTTAGACCTATTCTTAACCGTTTTTTGGGTTTAAAAAAATGCAAAAAGTTCTTCATGTGTCGATAAAAAAATGGTTTTAGCCATCCAAACTCAAGGGTAGCCACAAACATGCAACTGAGCGAGTATTAGCTTTGCGATCAGCAAGGGTATTGCTATAGGGTACAACTCTTTTTCCATAAAAAAACATTGATCACTGGATGACTACAACTGTAGTTATCTTCATCTCTACTTGCGTCAACGATCAGACAGATGGAGAATTGAGCATTCCTGAGTATGCCTATTCGAATTTTTTCTGTTTTGGTTGTAATTTAATCATTTCTGATTTCATCATATCAGTTTTTTTGTTTTTAATTTTTCTTTTTAGTTTACTAAGTGTCTGTTAAATTTTTATATCGTTATAGAAGCTTTTTTGTCGAATCGGTTGAGCAGCAAAAAAACTATCTCAGTGTTTTTTGGGTAAACATTTGGTTAACAGTTTTTTCTTTAAAAAATTTTCGGTGCACCGCGTGTCTGCTTAAGATCTGTCGGGGTTTTACTGCTTCAGAAGTATTATTCAGATGCTCATTTGATAACCAATTGTCTATTTCTTGGCATGTTTTCATGAAAGAAGTTTTTGCTAAAGACAAAATCAAGAAAAATGTAGAAAAGTTTTGGCAGATCAATTTTTCACTGATTAATGTGTTTTCTAAGGCTTTTGTCTCTATTTTCATTGGCTTGTTTTTCAGGCTATGTATAGATTTTATCGCATGTAATACGATGCATCGCGTTGTTTTCTCTCCAAAACTTCTACAGTTGAGGTAAACCAGTTCAACTATTTCGGATGTTTTTTGTTTTTGGAGAATAAAATTTTGAAGTTGGTACACAGATAAGCATCCTAAGCTATTGATGCATCATTTTTTATTGGTCTTGTACGTCAAAAAAATATATATGACCCTCACGGCTCCAGAGAAAGTATAAACGTAATCTCTTTAGCATGGCAAGTCTGTCGATCATTTGTGGAAAAAAAACAATTTTCAATAGACTTCATTACGCCGTTTCTTCATTGTCTCAATTAAGAAAGAACCAGAGATGTACTCCAACAAGAGTTTTTTGACGCGAAACATTTGACAATGTCAGCGGTATAGTAAACGTCAATAACCCCGTTGACTCCATTTTTTTGATAATCGGGTGACAAACTTTTGAGGCAGCAGGACACATAAAACTGGACCAATAAAAATTTCACTTGCGGAAAAATAGATAGCAATGTTTTCCAAAGTTGAATTTTTTTTTGAAATAATGAGAAAATGGATTTATAGTTTTGTTACTGGAAGATACTATAGAGTAGGGTGTTTTTCAGGCACACTGATAAATCTCGTAGAAGCTCAACTTTGAAACTAATTTTTAAACCTATTCTTAACCGTTTTTGGGTTCCAAAAAATGCAAAAAGTTCCGCATGTGTCGAGAAAAAAATTGGTATTGGCCGTTCAAACTCAAGCGTAGCCTCAAAAATGCAATTGAGCGTGTATTAGCTTTGCGATCAGCAAGGGTATTGCTATAG